AACATTGACACTTCTTGACCAAATGAAAATAAACCTAATTCTATTGATGCTAAAAATGGTTGCAATAGTTCAGATGATAAATCAAGTACTTTTTGAGGACCATGTTTACAAAGAGACATTATCATTTGAAAATAGCTACAAGAAATTTTGATTTAAAATAATAATTTAATACAAGAATTTTTTAAAATAGTAATAATGACTATATATAACTTACTGTAAACATAAACATGGAAATTTTAATAAATCTGTAGTCATCATAGGCATAATTATAGTCAAACCATGCAAAAACACTGTTTTATCCTGTAATATATTTTCACATAAAAGATTAGTTAAAAGCTTCATTAGTAACAAAATATCCTGATAACTGTCTTCTTCTGCAGTTGAATCTATAGTTAAACGATTGATGTTACAACGCGTATAATTTTGTATTGCACTTAAATATATTTCAGATACTTGAGTAGCTTCAGTCTGGACAAATAAATATGTTTAAAATTATAATATCAATAAATATTATGAATTACATGAATTATCAAAATAAAATATTTAGATTGAAAATGATCTTACTTCAGTAAGTCCACGAAGAACTGGTTCTGGTCCATTTGTACATTCAAAAAGTAATTCCAAGATTAATTGTACTATATCTTGATAATTATGATATAAAGATATTAAATTTGGTAATTCGCGTAATACAGATTGCATGTATTGATAGAGTAATCCTATTTCGGATCCTCGTGCACCTTGCGATACTCCTATAATATTAAAATATAATATTGTAAGAATACATAATAAATATATATGTATAATTTTATATTTTAAAATATCAAACATTAAATATTGATTAAAATTTACCAATAAAATATTCTAGAATATCTATAACTTGAATTTTAATCTCTTCTTGATGATAACACTGTAAAAAATTTTCATTAGAGGTAATTTGTTTGAATTTGTTTAATAATGGTTGCAAAGTTTGTATCCAATAAGATTGATCAATCTTGTTCTGGACAGTAGTAGCAACTTGAATTATTGCTTGCATTAAACCTCTTTTGACTACTTGTGGAAAGTCATGTTGTCCTTTTGTAGCTAAATTTATAATATGTCCAAATCGTTCAGACTTCAATACATAATTGGCTCTAAAATATATATATATATATACGTGCGTATATGTGTATTATAAAATGATATGTACAAAACATAATAGTTTTTTTTTATCAAACATGACATTACTTTTTTGGACCACTAACGAGTGATATCAAGAGCTTTATAGTTTCATCCATTACTGCTGGTTCACTTTTAAAAGCATTAATATTAAATTCTATTTTTTCTAAAAGAAAATTCGTAGCCCACAATGCACCAGGAGTATTGTCTCCAAAAGTATGTAAAAATGTAAGAGATATTTCAAGATAATGATATTCTATTGATAAAAGATAATGCAAAGACCATTTATTCAGAAACCAGATTATGGTACAACTTAATTCTGGACTTAATATACTGTTTGATAAAACAGACATTGCAGTTTTTTCTATGGCACATAGACGAAAAATACTTGCGACTAAGCGAATTACATGATCTACTGATTCTATAGAAATATCGATAGGTGACGAAATATTTTCTGATGATGCTAAAAATTGTAGTGTAAGATTCATATCGACTTTTCCTTGCTGTACCTACAAAATAATCATATGTTATTTTTTATACAAATATGTTATTAAATAAAAAATATTAACTATATCATTTAATCATTAAAAAACGGTATTTCAGTTTATGTTAAATATGTTCTATTCTTCTCATTTTATTTACACACCTGTTCCATATCATATGTCATTATTTCAGTAGGTATTAAAGCAAGTTCACCATCAGATTCCATACAAAGTATATTACCTATCATAAGTACTAACCAATGTATATCTTCATATAATCTAGGTAAAGAATCATTTTTCATTGTATTAAATGATTCAACCTGTTCCACTAATTTATTTAAGTTTTCACGTAATTTAAAAATACGATCTTCAATTAATTGTGCCAATAATGGAAGAGTATAATTTGGAATCTGTCTACCAAAAATTCCTAAAATCAAATATACATTTTATAAAATATATGTATATAAATATATATATATATATTTGTATATGCATGCATAGGTACACACATGTAAAAATTTACCAATTATTTGTAAATGTTCTTTAAATTTGTCTTTATCAGCAATTTCATTATCCAATTCTTCTTTCTCAAGATCTTTATCTTCAATAGTTCTTATACCTTCTGGAGGTGATAAATGACATCGAAGATATATACTAAATATTTGAATAAAAGTTTGTTTAAAAAATTCTGAAGAGAATAAATCTTTCTCAGATAAGATATATAACCATGTATCAAACAAAGCATCCAAAGCTTCAGTATATAAGCATTCACCAATACTTAACTAGAACAAATAAAACAATTTTATTAGTAATTTTGTTTAGTAATTTTTTATTTTTTCATAACAATAAAAAATATTTACTTACTGATTCTTCTTGTGCTGCATTTTCTAAAAACATATAAGTCAATCGCGACATTTGTTCCAAAAATGTTTTCAACATATCACTAGGTAAAGAACAAAATTTTTTTCGAAAAGATGTAAAAAGTTTTTTGATAATATTAGCAATTCCATTTGCTTCTTCATCAATAATATTAATGCTTGTAATAAATTTTAAAAACCTTTCCATATAATTAGTAAAATATTGCATTTCTATTTCTTTAAATTGCATTTCTGAACTACTCAAATTTGCCATTTGAATTAAACAAGTTCTTACATGATGAGCTAATTGTGGATTTTCTCGTATTTTCCAATATAATGTAAACATTAAATCTAATACAGCAGGAACTAACATTACATCTTGCCAATCTTTATCTATTTCCAAAGGTACACAATTTAATGATTCACGAACATCTTCTAGCACATCTTGTGCAGTGGAATTAAGGAATTAAAATTAAAAATAATAGTAAAGAAAATAATTTAAAAATGTCTTAAAAAATATATAAATATAATTTTTTTATGAAAAGGATATTTGTATATTTTAACTGAACAAATGTCCATGTAAATATACTTTCCAAAATTGGAAGTAATTGTTTTAAAAATGTTATACTATCTTCTTGTAAATCTTTTTTTATTAATTCATCAACTACTCCAATACAAAACTTAAATATTCTTTTCAAATCACCAGTTTGAAATATTTTTTTTTCAATGAAATGTGTTTCCCATGTTAAACCTATATTTGTAGACTTGAAATTGATTATATATTCTTGAATTATAGCAGAAATAAGGTTGCATCCCAAAAGTTTCTAAAAATATTAATAAATAATACAACATATAATACTATAAAAGAATATAAATTTAACTGATTTTATTTACTCTTGGTAAATCACCGGTCATTATTAAATTTTCAACTTCTCCTAATATGGTTTGTCGTGCTTGTCCAGAGTCATTTACACTACCTCTTTTAATTATAATTGCAATAACTTGTAAGATACATCCTTTGACATATGGAGGCAAGTTTGGTTTGCTTATAACATAATTTAATAAATAATCTCTTACTGAAGAAATATTTGTTTGTGATAGTGAAGGCCATTCTCGTATTAATGCTATCTTTATTAAACCAACTGCTTCAAATATAATATAATCATTTGTATTAGATTCTAAAATTTGATTACAAAGCTCATAAGGAGATTTAAGTTTTCTAAAATTTAAAAAAACTTCTTCTGCAGAATGACGTTGTTCTGTTGAAATTAAATTTGGTGGTGCCTAAAAAAATAATTATTAATGTAAATAAAGTGTTTTAAATAAAAAAGTGTTTTCTAAATATAATGAAAAATATAAATAAGCATTTTTTAGTAATTTTAAATTCAAATAAAATTATATTATTTAAAATTATATTATACTATATATTATTTATTAAATCAAAATATGTATAAAAACATTTTGTATTATTTATATAATTCATTTTATTTACATATAATATAAATTATACATATAAAATACATATATTTACATTATATAATATATAAAAATATATTAATAAAATTTCGCAATAATAAAGTTAAAGAAATTATGAGAATTATAATTAACAATAATATTTAATTACATATATTATGCTTATGTTTCAAAAAAATTTTATATTTTATAAACATTATATAATTGCATTAAATATTTTTTAAGATTTAAATACAATATTTGTACATATAATCTTTTAAAAATTTAATGAATATATTTATTTATAACCTTTAAAAAACTTGTTTTATTGAATATATACTTACCAAAATTATTTGTGCAGCCTTTTCTAATTCATTTATTAACTGTTCTGCCATTTGTTCAAAAATATTAAAATTTTATAAAATAAAATAATGTTTGTAAACAAATTTGTACAAAAAACAACATTCGTTTCGTACTTCACTCCGGCACAGTTCCCACTAATATGAAACTTACTCAAGCGAATGTATTAAATTGAAATTATTGCGCATGCCTTTAATTTGAAAGTTTACAGTTTAATATATATAATAATTATATACAGTGTGTAATATCTTCATAAAACTTTGGAAGGATTTAGAGGTTAAAATAAAGAGTTTAGAGGTTAAAATAAATATAAAAGTTGATATATAAAAATGTCAGTTAAAAGTTATCTATTAACTTATAAGCAATTGAATTATTTGCATTATATAAAATGAGGCAAGTACAATAATAATGTAATAGAGACAGATCTCACTTTATTTTCGATTTAACCCTATATACAAACTAATTCATATATAATCAATTAGTTATATGTAAATTATGAAAAATTTATATAATATGAAGTGTTTATATTTTATTTCCTATATAAATACAATATATTTATTTTTCTAAATTATGATTTATTACTTATAATGAAAAATTAATTTAAAAATATATAAGATAAAACATATTTAAAAAAAAAATAATTAAAAATGTATTAAATTATGAATATACATAATAATTTATAATAGAATTTTTATTTATAGTTTATAATCATTTTTTTATATTTTTAATAAACATACATTTTATGAAATGATAATTAATTATAAGATACATATTATCATATATAATATAATAATATACAAAAATTATTTACAATATCGATCTGCTTTCATTTTGCTTCTTCTATCTAATAAAGCTTCATGCAAATTTCCTTCTCGTTTTGCTTTTTCTAATTTAGAATTATCCTCTTTACTTATTTTTAATTTTTTGTCTTGGAACTTCTGAAACTTCTTTCTAAAATATAATCAATATTATTTTTTATTTTAATATTAAAAAATAAATTCTTATATGATATTTTTTTTTTTTTTTATATAACTTACACATAATTCACTTCAACATCATGAAGAGAACCCTGTTCCTCTTTTGGAATATCTTTGTTTGGATCATGTGTCTTTTGTGTTATACTTCTTACAGTACAAAATTCAGAAGATCCAGCAGTCCTACTTTGACAAATAATATCATCTTCATCTGTAACTGACATGAAACAATTGTTGCTATTCAAAATAGCAAGTTTGTTATCCTAAAAAAATCAGATTTTTTTATAAAATATGTAAAAAGATTATATTTTTGTTTTAGTATAAACAAATTAAATTAAAGATATATATATATATAAATTATGTAAATTATATAAATTAATACTTTTAATAATATATTCATTTATATATATTAAATACTTAATTATGATATCTATATATACATATATATAAAAAATTTATTAAGTTAAATTTATTTCATTTTTAATAACATTTTATAGAAAAAATTCAATATGTATTTTATTACATTATGACAAACATTTACATTGAATAATTACCTGAAATATTGGTTCCCATTGTTCAATCATACCTACTGCATCACTTCTTCCAACAACAATACCTTTTTTATCAACACCTAAATATTTTCCATAACCAGATTTCAATGCAACTTTTGTTTCACCTATTGGAAAAGCTGTTAAAATCTCTTCTGGTGAAGGTCCTTCACCTTCATTATGAGGTGCACCTAAAGTAAATAATCCATTATCTAAAGCTTTCATATAGATATGATTTCCAAATTCAATTGCTACAGTTCCTGTGACTTCTGATACTTGTGTAGTTTTCCACCAACCACCTATAACATTTATATGTAGTCAATTTGATAATTGATTTAAAAATATATATATAATATTATAATAAATACCATGAATTATAGTATCTTTATCTTCTGAAGTAATAACATATTCTTTCTCCTGTTTTTTCAATTTTCGTTTTTTTGTTCTATAAAAAATAGACAAAAAATTATTTTGTAAATATTGAAACAAATAGGTTAAGTATGACATTTATTTATACCTTTTTTTTTCACCCTTCAAAACAAGTTTTCCAGATCTCACTTTATCATATTCTGACATTTTTGTGTTTTTTTTATTTGAATGTAATTTAAGCTTATTAATAATTTTGTAGTTTCGACTATTATATATAAAATAATAAAATATTTTTATAAATCAAAAAATTATATTAAATTATATTATATGTACAATTATATATACAACATTACATATGCAAATATTATATATATTGCATATAATATATTAAATAATAATATTAATTTAAATTATAACGATTATATTAATGTCACTTTCATATTTTACATTTACCTTCAGACGAATGAAGAAAATAAATATCTAAAGTTATATTTTTTATGTTTCTAGTTATGTTTCTTATTTGTATGTTTCCATAGTGTTTCTTGAAATTATAGTAATTAATCGTTTACTAGTGCAAATTTATTTTTTATTAAAATTTATTTATTTGAAATAATTTATGAAATTTATTTTTCATACAATTATACAAATTTTTAATATTTATTTTACATATATAATTGTTATTTCTAAAAAAAATAAATTAGATAACAGTATATATATATATATATTTTTTTTTTACGCAATTTATAGAAGTAAAAAATATAAAAATTGGTATATATAGATAAATATTCAGTTTTATCATATGCATAAAATATTATTTCTGAACCAATTACGTAACAATTAAATAAAATGAATTATAAGATACAATTTCGAATATAATGTAATGTAAAATTTAAATATAATGTATAATGATTTATACATTATATTAATGTTTTTTCTTAATTTTAAAGTTCATAATAACTTATATAATACATTTATAAATGTTATATTATTTATTATATTTTACATTTGAAATCATAAAAAGTAAAAATATTAAATATTATTATTTATATATTTTAATACTAAAAATTACAACATTACAATGGATCATATTCAAGCGCACAATATAAAAGTGCAAACGCGATATTTTTTAGAGATTCGATTCACATACATATTAAATATGCAGAATATAAAATTCATTGGTTGTTATATTTTAAATAGAATATAAATATATAATTCTCTTTATTAAAATTGAGATTAAAAACGAAGATTACTTCATAAATATCAGATCAAAACATCATACTATCGGGACGTTACAAAATTCGTAAAAATATATGTATATATATTTTATAGATATTATTATTTTATGAGCATTATAAAATAAAATTACAAAAACATTTTTTATGAAAGTTACGATCTATATGGTAAAATTACAAGACTTGAAATATAGTTTTATTTTATTCAGTAAGTACCGAATCAGAAAATTAAATTGTGGCACATTTCGAAATATAATAGTAATAGTAGTAGTGACGAATATATTTCATTTTGATTATAAAAGTTGAATTAGAATAGAATAGAAAAGAATTATATTTGGTTTTATATTACATTATATTGAATAATTGATTTTGATCATAATTAGCAAATTTCTTGTTAATATTTGACAAATATAGCATTGAAATATTTTAAATGGAATATTAAATTCATTCATATATTGTCACAATTTTTAAATTTGAAAATGTTTGCAAATATTTAAATATATATATATGTGTTATGTTAAGATTTTATGTAATTATGTTAAAAATTTTATAAAAAATTTAAATCAATAAAATAAAAACATATTGTAAATATTTTCATTTTTTATAGATATTTTTTTTTGTTACAAAAAAATTGTTACATAAAAATACCTTAATTAAAAATTTGATTGAATATTATAATTTAATATTTAATTAATTTTTTAAATTTTGAATATATTTTTCTGTCTATTATGATTCTATTATTAATCACAAATGAATTTTTGATATTAATAAATCTTTCTCTTCCTAGTATAGGAATGAAAATAAGATAAAATAAATTTTTTCCTGTTTTCTTACTTTTTAAAACAAGATATTCATGACATAAAAAAATTTTTGTTATAGAAGGCACCATATTCGATATCGATATTTTATATTTTATATTTTATATTATATTGATCGATATCAAATGTGAACCTTGCTTATTGTGCGTATTATAATATTATAAAAATCAATTATTCGTACGTCTAGGAATTGGATACCGAAGTACTAAAACACTGTCTGCTGATATAATTGGTAATACATTGTCACAATGATGATTTACTAAATGACTAACACTATCGAAAACGCGATCTTTTGTGCGAACCTGGAATTGAAATAAATCATTATATATTCTTATTTCTTTATAAATATATATAAAATTTTTCATAATATATTAATTTTCGAAATGCTTACTACGCCTTCTGGATCAATTAGTAATAAATGTTTTGGTGTACTATTATTCATACCAGTAAGAACATATTGTCCAGGCGAACCTTGAGATTCTCTAACTAAAAAGTCACCATCCTATCAAATAAATATGAAAAAATATTATATATTATTGTAATATTTTATAATATAATAACACTATATAATATAACATTATATAATACAATATAAATACAAATATTAATACAAAAAGAAAATTTATTTCGATATTTACTCTTGTTAGCATTGATTCTGCTTCAGCTCGACTAACGCTACCATGAAACCATATCTCTTGTTTTAATTGTTGCTTTTGAGAATGTGGACTTAATTTATTCATATCCGATATTGCAGAACTGAATGGCTCTATAAAATAATATTTTATATAATATACTTATACTTATAATTTAAAAGTATACTTATACTATATATTTGAATAGATAAACACGTTATATTTTAAATTACTTACGCATATCAAATACATCAAAAAGTGATGTTTGATCTCGTTGATTTTCTCTGGTAGCTGCTATAACACTATCATTTACATAATTATGTTCAGGAGGAATATTGAAATTTGTTGAAGTTCCATCAGAATTCAGATCAATTAAGTTACCAGTTTCTACAATTATATCATGAATCATAACTATAATAAAATACATCATAAATTATAATAAAATATAGAAAAATAAATATTACCTGCCCATTGTTGATGATGTCTATCAGAATTGATAGAAAATGTATCATGTAAACCAGAATTTTGTACATTGCTTCGTGACATATGATTTTGAACAGAATGATGATGTTTCAAATTGGGTAAAGTTGATGCTGAAGTTGGTAAAGGTGGAACTGGTGGAGGACCAATATCTGGTGGTACTTTACCTGGCAGATCATTATAATAATCTCTGTCTGCTTCTCGTATGCCATTTAATATAGGACTATATTATAAAAAAAAATGTATTAAATAAATTATAAAAGATTAATTTTATAACAATTATTTATATATTATTATTATTATTCATAATTACTGTAATGAAGCTGGTTTTGTAAGAAATTCTTTAAATCGTAATTCAAAAGCTTGTCCAATAGTAGATATAACATCTTGTGCTAATCCTCCACCACATTCTAATACATAACAAGCACGCCATTCTTGCATATTTTTAGCAACATATGCAACAAAATCCAGTATTTCCTAAAAAAAAAATATAATAAACTTATAATTGTAATTATAAAAAAATTTGTAATTATAATAAGATTAATAATTAATAATTGTTAAAATAAATAAAAAATTAATGCTATATTATATAATTTACCGTATCTCCACCTGAAGCAAAAGATATACGTGGCATTTCATGTTTAGCAATAATATGTCCATTTTCTATGTTAGTCAAAGCTAAACTGCAGCTGCTAATAGTTAAATTTATTGTAGCACCTGTATGTTCCATGCGAGGTTTATCTGCTATTGCTCTTAACACTTTCCTATCCACCTTTAAATTTAAATTATTAAAAATTCCAAATTACAATTGAAAAATAAATAATAATTTTATGTAATAAAATTAAAATAGATACCCTTCTTTTTTTATCTGCAGATTTTAAACCAGCTGCTTCACAAACTCTGTTTATACATTCTCTAAAAAAATATTAATATAATATATGAATATATTTACATATAAAATTTTCCCACATAAAATAAATATAATTTAAAAGTATTTTGAAAACTTACTTGGCAACACAAGATCTTGTTTCAAAATCTAAACTTTTCATAGATGTATATACTTCTAGACATCCTATATACTGAAAATTATGTAATATAATAATATTTATCATTTATAAAATTAGTTATAGAATTATTCATTATAAAACATATTTATTATAGAAAAATGAAAACTTACTTTAACAGTATAAGTAATTCCTTCTTTACTCACTAAATGATCAGGGTGTAACCATCCTCTAGCTGGTTTACTTATAAAACTACTACCTCCAGTTGCCATTTCTAAATTCTATACACATATGTATACATTATAACTATAACATAAATATTTTAGATATTATATAAATCATTCAGTTTTTTATTTTGTTAATTTATTATTATTGATATTATTAATATTATTATTAATATTATTAAATATAGAAAGAATTATTTGAAATGTTTCAAGCATACGTATGCATGTAATCTTTATTTAAAGTTAAAACTGAAATCAATATAATTAATTAAAATTCAATAATTAAAAAATGTAAATATATTATATATCGCATATTTTTGTTATTTATAATACTTTTTATTTTTTAATATTTTAAAATTATAGCAATTTGACAACAATTATTACATAATATAAATAATATAGATAACATTATTTTATATCAAACTTGAATTAAAATATATTTATAAAAGTAACAATTAAATATGAATAATTAAAATATTTGATTAATTGTAAATAAAAAAAATTTTTATTACTGTACGTATGATTTACCAGGAAATGAGATCATATTTTGCAAACGATTACTGGAATCATGTATCTACAATGCAATATTTTACTGATATTACTTATGCATCTTTTAATATACTATATAAATTTAAAAATATTAAAATAAATCCATATTGGTTAGCATTTCCTGTTATACCAAAGTTAGAAGATATATTTACTACCTTACAAAATTCTATTAATGCTAAACATAAATTACCGATAATTTAACTATGAAATTTCCTTTATCACCGACTGAACTAATCTGTGGACACAAACGAGATACAAAATAGTTTTAATAGTTTTAATATATTTTTTTATCTCATGCTTCAGGGACACTAAGCTCTCTTACATTTCGTGTCATTCTATTACCGACATTACCGATTCAATTCAAAATAAGATAGTATAACATTAATAATAATTGAAAATGAAACTAAGTTATAAAATTATAAATACGAAATAGAATAAATATTATATTATATAAAATGGATCGAATATAATTTATTAAGATTTTAATCAATAGGCAAAAAAAACATAAAATTGATTAAATATCAGATTTGTTTCTTAAGAATATCAATTTTGCAGAGCAAAATAGACAAGAAAAATAAATAGTGGAAAAAGGAGAGACATAGAGTAAAATTTCGGATATCAGCGCCATCTCTGAACTAAATAAAATTAAAATATAAATAAAGAGTGCAAATAGAAAAAGAAGGATAAAGATAAGATAAGAATTGACTGTTAACTCCATCTCTTGACGGATATCTTTAAAGATATTTTTTCAAAGAATCATTTTTTAAAAAATACTCAACAGATGGCGGTGATTTTTAATTCTTATTCCATTTTACTTTTATCTTTGAAATATCTTTGACATTCAAGAGATGGCGTTAATTATCAATTCTTATTCTATCATTTCCTTTTCTTATCTATATTTGAATTTCATTTACACTCTAGAGATGACGCTGATCTCTTAATTTTTACACTATCTCTGTTTCTGTTCATTTTCTTATTATTCTTTTTGTTTATATTTATTCTATAAAATTTATACGTGCAAAAGATGACTTATATATTTGATTAATTTTATTATTTTTTTTGTCTAATCTATTAATTAAAAATCTTAATAGAGTCTATTCAATTCAATTTTTTACATATTATAGATATATATTTTTGTATTTTTATATGTCATTAATTTTATTTCACAAAAAAATATAAATTTATATAGAAAGTTATAAATTTTAATTTAAAAAGAATAAAAATATTTATATTCCATATATAAATATTTAATTTTATTTTATATATCATATTTTTATTGA